TTTTTTCTTTCTGCTTGTCTTGCGACTGCATGACCTACCGAGAGACATTGATCAGGTGCCTGCGGCGACACAATCGAGAGGCATCCTGTCCTCTTCCGCATGCTTTTCAGGCAACTAACGGATCGACGCTCTGGATAACGCGCCAGCCACATTCGATTGAGAACGCCCGGAAGAAAACGGGCTCTCGCCCCTCTGGGATAATTTACCCCATGAAGTCTAGCGCACTGTGCCAAGGTCTTCGAATGGCTTAGTGTTGCACGTTTGGACACTCTGGAGACTAGAGTCTAGCGTGTGGACCACAAGCAGTAGCGCTTAGTTGGTTGACCCGGGATGTACGAGGAAAATCCCCCGAGCCGCAGCACCTGCGCATTCCTGAGAACTCCAGGGTCGCCTCCTCGTCCCGTTTCGGGGCATCATCGATGATATGTTATGTCTGCGACGGAGTGAACGAGCGCCCAACAGATGAACGTGACCCGAGAAAGAGGACACATTGGACCGCATAGGTGCCGATACGGCCGAGATTTGCCTCGGAATTTGGAACCCACAAGGAACGTGTTGCATTGCCGGTGGGTCCTGCTAAGGAGCACGGTCGACGCAGCAACTTTAGGAGAACCAGGGGGAAGCCATGATGCCACCGTTGGTAGCATGAAACCATGGCTCTCCTGCGACAGAGACAAGAAAGGATGTCACGTTTCCAACGGTGACGGCGTACTGGACGAACCGTAGATTAAAGGTAACGTGCTTGTGTATTGCAAACAAATGGGTGAACTAGAACACATTCGTAGCAGCCATTGCCCTGCTTGAGGAGAACCGTTTCTGAATACTTTGGAGGTCCTTGGGGATGGTTCCTTGTGCTTTCGCACGTCTTCCTGGGTACCCAGAAGGAATTGACTACTACCCTTAAACAACTACTCATGTCGAACGTCACGGACAGGAAGGTCGCCGAACTTTCTGACATCCTTTTGAGGCCCCATCTGAAAATCCTCGTCACCTCTACGCAGCTCTCGTCGGTGGTCAACACGGGGTTGAATAGCCGTTGTTTGGCAGATGCACACGCGCCGATGATTGACCAGAGCAGGGACTCTCGTCACAGCAATTCCGAACGCAACTTCGTTGACCACATGGCCGTAGACGAATAACGGTTGTAGCGAGAGTCACCGCTGTTGTCAAACACCTTCCCTCTTAATGCCACGATAGTTCTCGGCCAAGCGTATCTCCAGCACTGGCATCCTCCAAGGTACATCTTCCATGGTACAACCTCTCGGGCACATCAGAGGTGAACGGGTTCAGACACTTCGGCAGATTTCCCATTCCCCAGGCGATGTCCACGATAGTAGCGAGTTACCCTGCATCTTTGTCCCACTATCCCATGACGGTCTAGGTTGTTTGATGTTGGGTGTGGTCAGGTTGGAAAGATACATACCTTCATTTGTCCTGCGTCGCGTCGCTACGGTAGTGGTGTGGATATGTGACGGTCGGCGAATTCGAATTCCTACATGGCCAAGTAGCACAATGTCGAGACTCCCCAGCGGAAACACATCGCAGCTGGGAGAAGGCCGACAAACGCCGAAAATCCAGCGGTCGAGGAGGTTTCCAGGGCGAGAGATCAGGAGAGAAACGAGAATGGGCCAGCCAGTCGAGAGCCTCCGCTTACCGCCTACCCTCTCTGGATTGATCGGAACTGGAAAAGGTTATTCTTCCGAGCCCGTCTCTCAAGAGGATTAGACAGCCTTCAACAGCTCGACTGAAGAGACAGGAAGAAGCAGAAGAAGAGGAAGAGGACGACCATATCAACTGTACAAGATCTCTGGCGGTTTATAGGTCAATAGGATTGCCTGTTGCGCAATTTCCCCGGAATCTTAAGGCTCACACTAGGAGAGCTGGACTTGAACTCCACTCAATTTTCTGTCGTATGGTAACCACTCACTCGAATATATATTTGCGTACGGTATCCGACAGAGGCAATGGGAGCTTACCGCACCACAAACGATCCTGAGGTTCAATTCGAGCAACCATGCTTGAAGAACTTAAAATCCTCACGGAAAGGTTGCTGAACTTTGGATATCCATCCATCGCTTTACCGACGTATTCGGACGGGTCGATGACGATTATGGCTTTTCAGCTGACGCCTTAGGGTTGACCTCCGAGCTACGACACGAAAACCCAATTTGCTTGGGTAAGGTTTCGTAAATCTGACATTCTTCTGCGTCTGGAATCGCTCCTCTGCTATGATGCCCGCCGATGAGATCAGCCGAGTGGAGGCATGCTGATCTCACTCAGCCATGCGTCACTCGTCTGGTGTAGTGAGGACCAAAATAGCACCGGTAGCGCTGGGGCCACCTTGATCGTCAGGGTCTGTTCAGTAGATAACGGGCATCACGAAGCTTAAGGACTTTTCCAGAGTCAAGAAGGGATCGATGGTTCACAAAATAATGTATTTTGTCAGGGCAAGACATCTGTCCGGGAACTAAGCAGTAACTTGATACGATTGTCGGTACAGAAGCTCCCGTGGGAGGCCAAAAGTGGAAAAGGAGAAAAAAAAGAAATGCTCCCACGCGGATTTGAACCGCGGACCTCATGATCACTAGTCATGCGCTCTACCAACTGAGCCATAGGAGCAGGTGAATATACTTCGGCGTTCTCTAAAAGGTTCTATTAAAGGAGGACAATACAAACTGTAGTTGAAATCCTGTATCTTCTCTCGCATGGTTATGGAGCCCCGGCCTCCGTGTTGATCCTTTTCCACATCGTGACCTTCTTATGAAAACCCTTGGTTTACAGACCCACTGGCAATCTACGGTGGTCAGGGAGATGAATGAACCCTATTATATGATGAAGAGCAAGAATGATCGCCTGTCTACCTGAAGCGGTTGGAATCGTCCCAATACATCATGAAGCTTAGTACTGGGGAAAATGACTATGCAGAACATGGAGGGAGCCTGGACACGGTTCTAGGTAAAACGCTCATCGGCTTCTCGCTTGCTAGGCCACCTGCGGCGGCTCTTAATGCTTAAAATACTCAAGGTACCCCTCGAACACCACCAAACCTCGACAAATAGATCAATGCTCTTGACGGACATGCCATTGATCACCCACCCGGAAGCCAGCTGGAAAAGGGTCGGACGGGTCCAAGACCATCTGCTTGAAGCCAGTGATCCAGGCACTGCCCTTGACCGTTGGCAAGACCGCATCATATTGACCGACCTTGGTGGTTCCTCGTATATGGCAGGTGAAAGTGGATCCGATAATACTCTGGTGGACGAAACTCTCCCCGACTTGGAGTTCGCCCCTGGCGTGCAAGACGGCCATTCTGGCCGAGCTTCCTGTGCCGCACGGGCACCGATCAAACCTTCCAGGAGAGACGACCACCGTATTCACGGCGACTCTCTTGTCACCCTCCTGGTGCAGTGGCTCGGTGAACTCAATTATTGTGACCTCCCTGATCTGGTCATTTTCCGGATGCACCGGTGTATAGGTGTTTCTCACGGCCTGTTTGATTCTCTCACCCAGTTCAATCAGCTTCGGACCATTCTCATTGGCGATTTTGAGACCGATGGACCGAGCGTCCACGATGGCATAATGCATCCCCCCCCAGGCAATATCAACATTCACGACTCCCAGTCCCGGCACATCCACCGGAAGATCCAACTTGTATACAAAGCTGGGCACATTATCAAAGGCGATGGCTTTGCATTTTCCATCTTCACAATCTGCTGTCACCCCAACCAGGCCCGACGGTGTGTCCAGGACCAACTTCGTCACAGGCTCCGTCATTTTCACCATGCCCGTGTCCAACAATACCGTCGCCGTGCAGATCGTATTCCCGCCGGACATGGGAGGATACTCATCGCTCTCCATAATGATAAACCCGGCGTCAGCGCGGGGATCGCAGGGCGGGAGGACGAGGTTCATACACATGGCCGGTCGGCCTCGTGGTTCGTTCATCAGGAGTTGTCGGACGTCGTCTGCTTCATTCTGGAAATAGAGGAGCTTTTCATACATCGTCTTGCAGTTCGGTGGATTTAGAACGCCACCGACAATGACATCGCCAATCTCACCGGCGCAATGGCAGCCCACAACCGATATGGTGCGATTGAGTCTCATCGTGTGTACGAGAACAAGGAATGTCTGGTAGTATGTGGGAAATTAACCTGCGCACCCAAGGTATCCATTTGCACGACTTTCCCCAGAATTTATATATTTTTTTCCCTCTATTCTTTGGTTCATAGATGTGGAGGCCCATGGCACCCACTCCGGGTTCCCAAACCGACTGCCCCTCGTCTACTATCAAGGCGAGCCGACTCCGGAATGCATCCCGTGGACGTGAGGGATATCGTTATCAGGGAAGCAAATGATAAGTCCCCGCCATTCCCCGCAGTCTCTCTCTCTCTCGCTCTCTCCCTCTCTCGCTTTTTTCTTTCCTTTTTCTTGAAACGAGGGACCCGCCGATCGGCTGGTTTACCGGTCTACCGGATGTCCCTGCCGACCTAATGGATTAACTAATCTTTCTTCACGATATCCGATTATTACCCCGCTGTTGATCCCCACCATCAGGTTCAATCGCCTCATCTCCTTCCGCAAGCTCCCCCTCCTTCTGAAACCTATAGATAGAAAGACATGGCCGCTCAACAGTCGCTACAGGGCAAAAATGCCATCGTGACCGGAGGGTCTCGCGGCATTGGCAAAGGCATCGCCTTTGAACTCGCCCGTCGTGGCGCCAATATTCTTCTGACATACAACAGCTCCCGTGAACAGGCCCAAGAGGTCGTGTCGCAGATACGGAGTGTCGGAGTAGACGCAATCGCCGTCGAAGGCAAAGCAGATGATATGTCCGCGCCCAAAACCATCGTCGAGGCAGCGGTTGAGCGATGGGGCTGCATTGACATTGTGATCAACAATGCCGGTGCTCGAGAAGACTACCCCGTCGAAGAAATGACATACGAGGTGTTTGATCGCCAAATCGCTGTGAACCTGCGCTTCCCAGTATTTCTCATTAAAGAGGCGACGCGTCATTTCGGAAAGACACCGCGCATTGTCAACCTTTCTAGTGTGTATGCGCGGGATGGGCAGCCGGGGTGCCTGGCATATGTGGCAAGTAAAGGCGCCATGGAGAGTCTCACGAGATCCTTGGCCAAAGAGTTGGGACATAAGTACAACGCAACCATTAACTGCGTGTGTCCCGGTCCGGTGAATACGGAGCTGTGGGCCTCGACCATTCAAGACCCCGAGGAGAAAGAGCAATGGGATCGAGTAATTCAGAGTACCCCCGCGGCGCCGAGGGTGGCCGAGGTGGATGATATTGCTCAGATTGTCGCCTTTCTCTCCGAAGAAGGGAGTCGATGGACCACGGGGAGCTTGATCAATGCCAACGGAGGGCTCATGTTTGTTTAAGAATGGACCGGGACGTGCCTGAACCGGGGCATGGATGTTTCAAAAGAGGCTAGCGTTGATGGGATGGTTCACGCCAGATAGTCTATAACGGGGATTAGTCCGGATGCGTCCCGATGGAACTGCAGTCTAGATACACTCTGCCGGCGTTGCATCACGTCGATAACGCACGCCTAGTGGCAATCGCATAGGCAAACCTTGGACATGTTGGCGATGCCGATGTTGGGGGAGACATGCGATGTTTAAAGTGCTAATTGTCGCTCTCTAGCTGGAATTCCCCTTTTCCCGAGGCGATTGTAGCGGTCCATCCGACGTCTCATTGATTGTTGCGTTATACCATCATATCGTAGTCTACATACAGTTCAATTACACTTGCCTGCTAGTACGCCATGATCTATGAAGACATGATTTCCGAGTCAGATTTAACGTCCAAGACCTCCCTCGTGATGAACCCCTGGGCGGTGAGTATATGGTCCACGATCCAGATGACCAAAGCATGAGAAGGGAGCGCAGTAGACCATACTCTGAAAGCTGGCGGATCTACGATCCTTCGGATACTTCCCTAACTATACCGCGGCATTGGTGTAGATGCCCCCGACGCTCAGAGTGAGTGCCGTAGCTCCCGTGTGCTTTGATGATCCGAAAGACAGTTCTCCAGGGAAAGATGAAAGCAGAAGCGGACAGGGTGAATCGCGAAGCTCGGAGCACTCTTAGCTGCGTGAGCAGTGCGCATACTTGTTGATACCCATAGAGAGATAACAGTGTGAATAGTTACCCAAACCTGCTACCGAGGCGTTGAAGTAATTCCCGTACGGACGTGCGGAAACGGGAAATGGCTCCTCTATCCCGCATACAACCCGCCATATCGTGGCTTCTCTACGGTCTGCGAAGTCAAACAGCAATGGCCCGGCCGATCGCCGTCCTGATGTTGCACGGCACCCCAGGACAGAGGCTTACCTGCCGCATCGGAATCCTCTTCGGGGGGATGGCACGCAGCGCTTATGGCAACACTGCAACTCCCGACCACGGGGATGTCCGGCTTCAGCTTGAAGGTGCTCACTGTGGTGAGTACGGCGAACATAAGAACGGCCACAGCGAGCGCCGTGATGATGGCGAGTGGGCTGTATCCGCAGGCCGTGATCACGCCACTATCACTCGCACTTGGGAAGTGGGTGTTGGGCCGTGTCAAGAGCTCGTTGTTCGGTTGGTAGATTTTTAGATTGATGAGGAAGATTGATTGCGAGATCAGCCAATGTATAACGGTACTACAGGCGAGGAGTGGGAGAGAGTATCTCCACGGAAGCTGTAACCAGTACGTTTCTCTCTGGGCTCCCCAGGGAAGGGTCACTCGAAGCGTGGTTTGCTGGTAGGCAAACATGCTCCACTCATAGGCGGATGCCATGCCCGTGAGCACGGCGTTGTACATGAAGTACAGTCCAGAGAGTAGCAGCTGAGGGAGGTTCGCCACAATCGATGTGGTCACAATGGACGCGGCCGTGCCTCCTCGGTACCCGGACGTGCTGACGATGGCATTTAGGCTAAGAGCACCAAACCCCATGGTGAAAGCGTTCTGCGCCCCGACGAGGTTGATACCCTTAAAGAGAAAAACGAGGCCGACAATAATGCTGGCCAGCCACCTAGAATTTTCCTCGTGAGTACAGTCTCGCCGCGGTCAACCATTACCGGAGCTATGGGTACCTACAAGAGGATGCATGCTCCCCAGCGCCTCACCGACGTTCCTTGATAACACCGCCCTAGCCACCCTTCGCCATGCTGCCACCGCTGTGCCTGTGCAGAACCAATGTCATCTGGGTCAGTGAAGATCATGTCGTCCATCTTGGAAAGGAGGCATTGCCCCTTGGAAACCATATCGGGGGACCTTAGGAAAGAGTCTAATGCATCGCCGATAGTTGCGAGAGTCGGTTCGCGGGAGACAAGAAGACATAGAAGAATGGAACTGAACTTCATGGCATTGCATGCAATCGCAATGTATAAGATAATCGGACTGTACAGTAGCTGGCAGGTATGGTTGGCGTCTGTGACCAGACAATGATCGATCTCATAATGCTCTGGTAAGATGGTCCATTTCGTGGCATTCCTTGTCGCCGCGGAGCCGCTGCATTGGCCATATAAGACGGCGTCCGGGTGGCACATCCAAGAGTTCGTTTGCGACAGCGCGTTGGGCTCCCAATCCGTCCCGTTCACCTTGTGCTCCTGACAAGCAAACGGAACGGACGCTGCATCCCAGTTCTCATCAAAGCAGAACTTCGTGCTATTATTGCCTTTCCCCCAACGTTGGCATAGTCCACTACACCACTGCTCAATCTGATCCGGATAGTCCAGAGGATGGAAATACGCCAGCACCGGCAGAGTCGTATTTCTCGGAGGTGGGAAGGTTTTCGATTGATTCAACGCATCACTCTGCTTGGTAACGGCGAGCATATTGAACGACTGTCCCTCTAAACCGGCTTGATAGGTGGAAATGCAACGAGCGGGATCCATTTGCGTTAGGCTGCTGCGGTTGTTCCGGGCTTGATCAAATAACCAGCAAGTGACATAGCTAGAAAGGTTGGAAGTCCGATACTCTTCCATCGCCGGACTGGTACAATCCAGCCCAATGTCAGTGCGGCCTTCCAAAAAGTCCGGAGTGACAACGAGTCCGCTGTAGTCGTTGAAGGTAGTTGTCATCACTACCGCCGAGTTCCACAGAAGGTGCAATGGGAGAGTGCTCACTAGAAGAGCCAACCATAACCCCAACTTGGCCCTTTTAATGAAAGAAAGATTGCGCATTGAATGGACGCCGATATCCAACCATCTGCGCCGAGCGTGGGCTTTATCCACCTCGTCTCGCGTCGGAGCCGTCAAACATTGCATGTTGTAGTTGCTGGCACTAACTAGCACGGTCGCAATCACATTGAGGGCGTAGTGTAGCCTGCTATCTACGCCATGAATGTGGTCGCAATCGCTTTCCTGTATGATTCCTAGATTATCGCTGCTAGGAGGGTACGTCACCCGAACATAGATGGTCGCCGCGACATTGAGGCCCAGGCATATCCCAACCAGAATGCACGAAGCCAACGCGCCGAATCGCCATCCATGAAAATGATTCGGATCCTGAGCCTTGACGGGCAATCGATTGTAACCTTTTCCCGAGCGAAGGACCGTCCGGGAATACCAGCTTTTGGTGGAGGCCCAAGTGCCATGTCGTTTCCGGGTCGAGGCAAGATCGGGCAGCTCAACCGCATCGTCTGCTAGAAGTTTGGTTGAGTCAACCATCATCTCGCGGTTCGGATTAAGGACAGACTGTGGGGTGTCGGTGAGCAACTGGTGCAGCGAAGTAGAGAGTCCAACACACCCGAAGCTCGTGAGCTCCTGCCGATCGCATCTCAGCCTCGCTTGGCTCGCCGATCCTCAAGGCTGATTCGCTGTCAGCATCTTCGAATTAGGTAAGAATCGGATGGTCTTGCAGAAGGACAAATGAATTTACCGGTCTGAATTCTAGCCATCTGACTTGGCTTTGCGACCGTGAAGATATTATGGTTGATGTTGGAATACGCGTGCTATCCAACCCTTGACGGCTCAACCCTACATTTACTGGGAGCACGAGAGTGAGAGACGTATATGATTACAGTGTAGTCCATTGGCTGCATTGGAGAATCAAATATGGAATATTATGCCATGGGTATTAAATATAATCATTAGATACTAAGTGTCGTTCGCAATCGTCACCGCTGGCCGAGATCACATCGAACCATATAAAATTGAAGAATGCCACTCCATGTGCATCAATTACAGGACAAGAGCACCCGCGACAGCAGCAGCAGCAGCCCCAGCCATGCCCACCCGAGCTGCGTGGTTGTCCGCAGCGGCTCCAGTGGCAGTCGCGCCAGTGGGACCGGCCTTGTTGAAATTGCCCAGACCGGCCGTAATGGTCAAGGGCTCATAGAGGACCTCAGCCGAGCCGGTGGCAGTGGCCGTGGTCGCGAGCGAAGTAGAAGTGGACTGGCCTTTGTATTCGACTTTGGCACCGAGCGAAACGGAGCAAACAGCAGTGGCCGTCGACGAGGTAATATCGCAGTCTTGCACAATCGTCCCAGTACCCTTGGCACCCATGGTGGTCATGGTGTAAACCGCACTCATGGTAAAGGTGGACGGGCCTTGGGTGATGGTGATCGGCTTGGTGAGAGGGCAGGAAGAAGAGTCCTCCTTGCAGTTCACAGCGTAGGTGGTCGCTTGGGCATCGCCGCCCACGACACTGCCTCGCAGGTCGCTAAACGCGAGGGTGTTGTAGTGACCGTTGAGAATTTGAACGACGGTGGTGGAGTCGTCGGCAGCAAGGGTGGTTGTGAGGCTGGCCGCCAGGAGAAGAAGAGACTGGAGAACACGCACCATCGTGGCGATGCTTATGGTGGAATTTTCAAAACCGAGTCTTGTAAGGTATAAGAAGGAGACTAACAGGGTATTCGGGCTTCCGTGAATGGCGACGAAGGTTTTGTTTGAGGGAGATGAGAAAAGATTAAGCACTACAAAAATTCTCCGAATTGACCGGGAGAAATCCTCTTATACATGATTGTGGTCGAGCTAAGTATCCTCTAGCCTGAACAGAGATTTCGAGAGAGCCACTGGGTGGGACTCGAAAGCGGCTGAAGGCACACTGGGCCTCGGGTTGACTCCTGGACCAAAGGCTGGCGTTGTTGTCTCGTGCAGAACATGCGAGACTTCCAGTGAGCGGCTCGACGCTAAATGGACGCGGTGCACACCAATTTGAACTTTCACAGTAACAGTCATTCAAGCCGCAGGGGTTAAAGTCGACTTGATTGGCCTGCTAGAGGCTCAAATCCAGTGGATACGAGGGGCTCCACCGAGACTGTTTCCCTGGCGCTGTCATCACTTCGGCCCAACCCGACCCAACTCAGTAGAACTGACCAATTCTAAGGCATTCCGGCACCGTCAGTCATTTTGAGGGTCCATCCCTCGTTTGGGGGCCAAGGCCAAGGCATTTTCTGCCCCTCGTGGTGGCCAAAGCCCCCGGAGCACAAAGGAGGGTGTGCTTGATGTAATCTCGTTGCCCTATCAGGTGACCCACCCAAGCGTTGATCTTTGCCCCCAACGGCTTAGAGGTGCATTTGAAGAACAATTGAATATGCCGAAGAATGACTTCTCTTCCCGTTAGCGACGACGCTGGCCAATGGGCAAGGAGATTGTCCAATATAGAGCCAGTATTTGGCAGGCAAGATCACTTCCGGGAGGCTCGACGCATGTTACCACAGGTAAGCGTCTCTAGAATACCTGGAATGGAAGGAAAACTGTGTCTTGTCAACCTCCTGCGGGGCTGCGTGTGGAATAGTCTACGGATAATATGAAAAAGGCACGAAAATACATACATACATACATCAGGGATAGCTATCTTCTCTGTTCCTGCATCCGGCACTCCATGCGACACATTATCAGACTGATTGCTACACCGTACGTCGGACATCTCCCATATACCGACGACAGACTAGATCTAACGCACTCGGGTGAGATAAAAGTTCAGCCCCTGGTGATCTGGTGGCATCCATTCAGTGTCTTCAGCTTGCATCCCCCATTGTTCCAAGTCCACCACTGTCGCATCCACCGTCCACTCGGTGTTCGTCTCGTGAGAAATCTCCAGCCACATTTGCTGAAAGCTTTCGAGATTATGGTAGAACATCATCCCCCAGGGGCGAATATATTCCCGAGCCTGTCGCCGTGACTGTTGATAACCGATCAATATAGTCCCCGGCTTTGACAGGGCGACAATTCGCCTTCCCGCCTGTTTTTGTCCCTCCCATGAGAAAAGATGGAGGAACTGCCCGGAAATCATGATATCAACCTCACCATACAGCTTCGGCAAATCAACGCAGTCGTCTTCCTGTAGAAAGTCGCCAGGAATGAATGTTGCGGGCAACCGATCATGATCTCGATAGAGCTCGTACCCTAATTGCCACAGCTCCGGACGGAGGTCGAGCGCCCACATTCTGTCCGGAGGAGCGCCACTAGCTGCCAGGAGTCGGAGATTTTGGCCCAGTCCGCAGCCGAGATCCATCACGACGCCCCCTTGGCGCGCGCACTCAAGCACTTGCTTAAATTGGGGAAACGCGGCGATGCCTGGCAGGAGAAACATCCACTGCCCAACGCAGGGAAACTCGCCATATCGCCAGGCTTTATCGCGCTGAGGCGGTCATTTATTTGGGCTTCGTGTCACGTCACCGAGGAGAAGAACTCACTATTACATGAAGATGGTGTTGCAGCTCGCTACTGGATATGTTGCTCCATTCTTCCAAGACAAGCCGCATTGGCCCGCTAAGCCGAGGCCCAATGTGCTTTTTGTACCAAGCGGACGTGTCGATTGGCACCATCGGTTCCTGAGCCTTACAAAGTTCGTTGGATCTACAGTCGAAAATAAACGATACGCGGATGTCTTGTCCGATAGGGTGTTGTTTCTCTCCCTTCTCCTCGTTTGTTAAGTCTCAGAACCGCGGCGACGTTCGGGCCGAATTCGTTGACCTACGCTAAGGTTTGCATATCCTCTGTATAATCCACACTACGGATGCATTGTAGATGCATAATTATAGGACGGACTAGTCTGCATACCAGTCATGTTGTTGTTGCTGCATATCAAAATATTGCTCATTTTTATACACATCAATCAAATCATCTAACCTTGCGAGCCACACACACAGCCCTGGGCATCGACAACCCAACCCCGAGTCTCGATTCCTGGATCAACCCTTGAATCATCAAATCAATGCTAGCAGCATCCTCAAATTTCTTCGCCCGTTTCAGTCGAGCTGAGAACTCCTCTATCACGAGAATATACTGATCTCCATTTGCCTTCCGCATCTCCAGCCGGTCCGTATAATTGCGCAACTGCGCATTTTCGAACCCACCGTGGCGTTTCATCAGATGTTGTGGGAGATCAAGGATCCAGTCATTGCGACCGCTCGACCGCGCGAAGCGCAGGAAGGCATCGTGCGCCGGGGTCGGCACGTCCCTCATGGCTTGACCTTTGACGACCTCGCTATCAGGGTAGTTCAGGTCGTCCCATTGGATGTAGCCGCCCGGCTTGAGCATCTGGTGCACCCGGTGGATGATCGGGAGGGGGTCGCTGTTCTGCACCACGAGGACAAGCAGACGGAGGTGGACTACGTCGTATTTGCCACGGAGGTCGCCCGGTACCTCGTCAAAGACGTCTAACTGGCGCAGCGTGATGGATGAGGGGAGCCATTCCGGGGGAGGTGCACTTGCCAAATCAATGTCGAAGCCATGGAGCTGCAGGGACGGGTAATGGGCCACTGCTGGGTCCCTGAGAAGGTCTAAGAGCCAGATCGCAGTGCCCGTGGCGAGGTCGGCGATCCGTAGTGGAGTAGAAGTATCCGGGGGCAGCCGAATCGACGGATGCAGGTTGAATTGTAGGGCATCTTTCCAGAGGTAGAATTGGTAGTTCAGTCGCGACGCGGCGGTATAGGTTCGATCAAGCATGTAGTCCAGCTCGTTTCCGAGGTTGAACCCCGAGCTGATGGTGTCGTCGATTTTGGTCATGTTGGGTCTTGACGGGGAGATCGACGTTTGACCGCACGATTACCTAGGACGCGGCCGGATTTCGAGCCTGTGGAAAGCAGGGTGAGGGATCACGTAATTTAGACCTGGTGACTTTTACCGAGCTATGCGTCCTGTGCATTGACGGTGAGCTTAAGGTACCGACTTCGGCTGGAATACATCTATTTGTGCGTCTCGTTGCCACGTCACCGATCAGCTTATACACTAGACTCCTCTAGTCGATCTAGACCGATCACCTCGATCAGCAGGTGCTACTGCTTTAAGATATCGACCACTAAGCATTCCCGTTCAGTGGCGGTATGAGCTGTCTCTGCAGCGCGCAACGTCCGGTGGAGTCGAAGCATTCCCGATGTGGTGGAATTGGCGGCCCAATTGGTGGACAATCCCAGAAGCCTCAATCTCGAGAACTACATAGTGGAGAACGCTAATGCATCCTAGATCGGATTGTGGAAACGAACGTTGATTCTGAATTCATACATAAAGGCTGACCGTCTCTTACTCATCTACGACATGTATCACATTGAAGTTTACTCGATTGGATATCATCAAAATGACGATCAAGAACCTACGGCTTGGGGTGGCCATTGGCCATGGGACTGGCCGGGAGCTTACTGTAGTGTTTAAGAAAGTGATTCAAGAGTTGGCACGCCCGCATTCTCTACAGGTTGACTTTATTGAATCATCCCGGATATACCATTCTTATCATAGCCTCACGACGTCTAGCGGAGAGAAAGATCTGATCCAGCACATCGCCGACGAGACCACCCAGGATGCAGAAGAGTATCGCAAGTTCTGCGAGACAGCGACAGCCAACGGGATCGCTGCAATCTTCCGCACAGCAATCCACGCGCAGTCTCTCTACCTAGTTAGGGATCAGCTAAAAGCCGTGAAGATTGAACATTTTAACCTGGGCAACTCAAATGCGTTGCTCTTCATTCGAGATGAAGCGCAGGGCTTCTACGCTGGGGAGAATGAATATTGCAATGGCCGGTATAGCATCACACGCACTAGCGCTTTCACCCGTTCCACCTTTGATCAGATCTTTGAATATGCTCTGGAACGAGCCAAGGAGGAGTGGGGTGTGGCAAATGTCCCCAAGGCAGTTACACTGGTCTACAAGTTCCACCTGTTCGATGGTGTCTTCCAGGCCTGGGCACCCCACTGGCAGCGTCGTTTCGGAATAGAACTTGACTTCATCCAGCCCGATACAATGAATCGGAACCTGATGGCCTCGGGAATCCAAGGCCGCCGCATTATCATTGCGGGCAACGAATACGCAGACATTATCCAGCCTGTTTTCTTGAGATGGTTCAGTAATGCCACCATCGAAACTATGTGCGCGGAGAATGTGTACTTGTGTCCTCGTCTGTATCGTCTCACAGAGTACCAGACGGTGCATGGATCTGCCGATGCTATCACCGGGCAGGGTCTGGTCAATCCGTTTGCCACGATTCGCGCTGCGGCTGCCATTTTAGAGCGACACGGAGGATGCCCTGGTGTGGGCTTTCAAAAACAGACGGAGAGAGCCATACAAACCCTGTTAATGAAGAAGCTGACAACACCGGATCAAGGTGGCTCTTGCAGCACGGATGTAGTTGTTGGGCACTTCCTGCGCGCGATTGCTGACCCTCTCGCTCTTGACAAGCCGTCTATTCGGGGTGATATAGCCACAGGGCCGGTCGATCCCGTGGTGGGCAAGAAGATCGCTGTGGTAGTGGTGGACTACCAGAATGACTTTATCTCAAGCACGCCTAGCCACGTGGTTTCCGAACTATCCAACACAATGCCGCGGCTTGTACAATATGCTCGGAGCCAGGGAAGCGAAGTCATATTCGTGCGCTTCCTGGGCAACTCCAGTTATCAAGGGCCTAGTTGGCAGTATCGGAATGCACTGCTCGGAAAACCAGAGAAATGCGTCGAGGGCACCTGGGGTGCGGAACTGGGCTCGGGCGTCATCCCTCTCCCTGGCGAGCGGGTCTTTGACAAGAAGGCCTTATTTGACGCTTTCCTCGTTCCGGAGTTCTCAGAGTATGTGTCTGAACAGGGATTTGAGCACCTGGTGCTCGCGGGATTGTACAGTGATGTCTGCGTTGATGCGACGGCTCGAACGGCATTTCAGAAAGGTCTGTGGGTGACTGTTGTTGAAGACTGTACCGCTGCTTTGCATTCTAACAACAATGACCACCTGAAGTTTATGGAGAAGGTCTATGGGGCACGGATTGGAAACCTGGCATCGTTGTTTGGAATGAACGCTTAGGGTCGACCACGAGGGTTGTTAGACGACATGTTGGATTCAATGTGTAGTTCTACTCGTGAATGACAGTTACATTGTTTGTAACGAGAGGGTTGAAGAAGTATGCGCCATGGAAGCGTCCTCGACTGAGGAGCTTATAGGCCGCGGCTAGATGGCCCAGCCCACGATATTGTTAACACACGGTATCATAAAAGACGTTTGCTTAGAAAGCACAAGTGGTGCTTGGTTATAAAGGCTTGTAACAGGCTATCTACCAAAGGAGAAAAGACCACCTGCAACATGCTTCGTGGCTGTTTGGTATGTGGCATTGCTGATCGTCATACTTGAAGCCGTCTCGGGGAATGATGTCATTGCAAGAATGTCAACTTCGGATTCCCTCAAATCTTTCCCTCCCATACTCCATACTGTTCTCTTTGAAGATAGGCCGTGATATATATACCTCATGGCATCCCCCAGATCGGGGTTTGCGATAGTTACACCCGCCTCGCGAGGTATTGGCTTCGCCTTGGCGCGTCACCTCCTCCAACACACGAACCTCCCCATAATCGCAACTGCCCGAAGGGACCATGATAACCTGCGCCATAGACTCCTGTGTGGGATGCAGAACTCTACCGCAGAGGGGAGACTTCATGTTTTCGATGTAGACGTTACAGGTAGTTCTCAATCAGTAGCAACCGAATGGCACCCTAGGACAAACTAACCTGCCGACTCTAGAAGAATCAACCGTCCGGTCCCTAGCAAATAATATCAAACAAACGCACCCTAAAGCATCTCTCCGCCTAGCCCTGACAGTGCCCGGTATCCTTCATGTTGAGAAGTCTCCCTCCCAGATCGACGCACATGCGGCCCTCGAATCTCTCAAAGTAAACACCCTTGGCCCAATGCTCCTTATGAAATATCTGACTCCCTTCCTACCCACACGCTCGTCGCCTGACTTTGAACCTTGTGACGGCGAGCTGGAGCTGCCCAAGCATGCAATCTACGCTATGATGGCCGCACGTGTGGGCTCAGTTTCCGATAACAGAATGGGAGGCTGGTATAGTTACCGGGCGAGTAAGGCGGCTGTTTTCCAATTGGCGAAGACGTTGGATTTATACTTGGGTGGGAATTGTCGGGATCGCGCGATCAGTTTGGCTCTGCATCCTGGGACAGTGAAGACGGATTTTACAAAGAGCTATCAAGACGGAAGGGAGATGTTGAGCGCAGAAGAGTCGGCGGAGAGGTTGTTGGGTGTGCTTTGTAGCCTGGGGTTAGAGGGAAGAGGCAAATGTTGGGATTGGAAGGGAGATGAGATTTGTCCGTGAGGTTGGCTCCATTAGATATGAATCGAAAGCGAGTTGGTCCACCTGAGATGAGGTTCATCACTTGATTGGATATTCCCATCAACTACTTCACAAGCCAATACTCCGCTATAGTAGGGAACGCCGATCGCTTAAATCATATTGTGCAAGTGTCTACCAACTCTGGGTGTTGCCTTGCGTGGAGACCTCTACACCCTGAGGACATGGATAAGCTGAGAGGCAAATGACTAGGAAAGATCAAACATATCGCGTTGAAAAGACAAGTTCAGTGTTTCCTCCACGGAGGGCACATGTTGGCTGTTTCGAAGGTAGTTCGGTATGCAGGGTAAGTGCACCTTTTTCTGAATTTCATCTAACACCCATTGAGGTACCACTCCTCAAACGGGCAATAGAGGAGAATGATAGCCTCGCCCTAGGCATTGCAAAGTGGATTATCATCTTTAGCAGCGGCGCCCATGTCGTCTTCTACCCCCAAACCCTCCCCCATATCCACCGCCGTGTCCACCGCGGTGGTGCCTTCCACCCCATGCAGGTCCATATCCTCCCGGTCCCATTCCAGGTGCTCCATAATGAGGTCGAGCGGAACTGATTACGAAGTGATGTCTTCGGGGTGGGGGCATCATACCCGTGTGCATCCGGCGGTGGCTGGGGACGCTGAAGCAGAGGCCCATACCGGCGTACTAGGATAGACCAAGATTATGTATAGTAGATAATGTAGATCAAGGGGGTATGTCTAGGATCAAATACATCGATGATTGCCCTGGGTCATTGAAAGTGGCATGCTTTCCAGGGGCATATCGGGTAGCCTTTCCTAGACACAGAGTCATGTCGTCATCCACTGATATATAATTGAATGGTTGAGGTAACTCTAATTCCATGCGTACCAAAGGCCCAGGCGGTGCAAGCCAATCTTATCAGATTCTGTCATGAGATTACTTTATTTTTAAATAGATCTTTACCTGTACGGAATTTTACGATTCTACCTCTATCTAGCAATGGCCTAAGATGAATGGTGAGATGCGGGTTATACAATGCAAACTTCCGAGGGTTTCTAGAAAAGTTCAAATACTGGATCGATGCAAAGTAACCCAGCCATTTCATCCCATCATGTATTGATGCGTAAGCTGCGTCTCTTCGTCAAAATATTCCGGCATGTCGACAAAATGATATTTCTTCCCCGAAACCAAGATCGCTCGAGAATGGAGCTGATCGCCCGGCACAGATGTCCCCTTGGAATCAGTCACTTCGTTCCCAGAGATCAGCTTCAATACTACATTAGTCACATCACCCATGCTCATCAGGATCTTCTCGGGGAAAAATGCCTGCAACTCCGGGGTCATCAACGGCGTGCGGACGACCCCTGGGCAGACCGCATTTACTTTAACCCCATCATCTAACAACCGCTTTCCCACGGAGCGTGTGAAGCCAACCAATCCATCTAACGAGTGTAAGCTTCGATTCTTCCTGGAGGTCTTACATACGTACGCTTCGTCGCCGAGTATACCGGGGTATGCACGCATGGATATAACCCGCCGATACTTGACATAATAATCAAATGCCTACTTCCCTTCGTCTCCTCCGGCGATCGGCGAAAATAATGCATGGCAAGGTAACTTGTATAAATCGCGCCAGTGAAGTTAATATCCGTCAGACCAGTCATATCAGGTGGTGGTGGGATCCCAGTATCATGCTTGGCGAAGAACATCGTTGTGTCCTCGGCGATGCCGGCATTCGCAAGGACAAAGTCTAATCGCTTTTCCTCATTGAAGATCTTATCAAACGCAGCACCCTGCTGTTCGTACTTCGTCACATCGACTTGGTGGAATATGGCATTCTTCAGCGTGGCGGCGGCCTCTTTGCCGCGATTTGGGTTGCTGCCTATGATATGGATTCTCCAGAGGCCTGTCTTGTCGAGTTCTTGGGCGACGTCGAGGCCCATGCCACTGGCTGTGAACTGTCATTCTCGGTACGAGGCGATTATCCTGGGCATGTCGAGGCGGTACTTACTCCCTCCTGTGATAAGGGCTACTAGAACCATACTGGAGTACTAGGTTTGGGATCGTAAGGAGCCCAATAGTATTGACAAATCAAATATTGGTCTAGGGAGATCTCGATATGAAGGGTTTGTGTGTGTGAATTCCTGAGATGCGCTAAATGAAGGTGGGATGAAATGTCGGTAAATGGCGGCAAAGATCTTACCGGCATGAATATTATTAATATCATTCCACCCCCCACTGCTTCCTAATTTTCAAGGCATCAACCACTGAATGGGAGTCGACTTGAGGTTCTAACTGTTCTGTACACGATCGTAAGAAGCCGGTGAACGGACACTTTGTTTCGCGGCAGGGCGACAGGTCGCCCAATATAAACAACATTAGGAATATCACATCTGACAAGACACCATTTGCTGTATATATGCATTGCTGTACTGACTGTGAAGCCCCACTTTTCTCCGTTGTGACAACATAAATATGGTGTATACATGTAATGATGCCTGGGTGAACTAATCGCGAGGAAAGAAACTGATATGATCCAAATGACTGTTAATGATAGCGGCGAGCTGGCTTGATCTAGCAGACAAAACCGTAGCAAGATCGTTTTAGACCTCTTTAATATACATACTGCGCTAGTCAGAAGGCTGACCTGCCTCCCTGTCGTAACTGAACAGCACGGGATAATGGATTCTGATTTTCCAGTCTCCTCCACATTATGAGCAATCCAATGCCCCGCAGCCTTTCCTGAATACATGAAAGGAAGAATAAGCCAGTTTAAAAGCCACCCAAGTAGTCTGTCGTCCCAGGGGTTCGAACCACCAACGGGCCATTTGCGGAGTACAACCGTGAACAGTGTCAGAAGCTAGGCAAGATATTGATATGACTGCTACAGATGCGAACTGTTGACGAGGATCCCAAAGAGTAATGAGTTTAGCTGCTCCTTCTCCCATCGCCTGTTGTGACCAGCGTTCCATACCGTTAGGGCAGCAGTGGAGGAGGTAGCTAGTCGTCAAATTCTTCTTGTCCTCGGACCGAAAAGATTATTCATTCTTACCCCGGACGATGGATTTAGGACAGTGTAATCTTTCGTGTGGCCACAACGTCAGCCCTTTTGTCACCTCATAACCCTAATCGTGGAAGAGTTCGAAGGATAGAATGTAGCCCCAAGAGCAAACATTTCGACACGTGATGTCTACTTTATAGATTAGTGAACGCTATGGATTAGTGAACGGTTTATACTCCATATGCTTCAACCTCGGTGAGAAGCCTTTGACTGCATTTGAAATGTTCAGCTTAGGACCGAGGCATATCAATCAGTTAGAATGTCACATTCCATAAAACAAGTCACCGGATACGATCCGAGGTCACATTCGGCGCCTGATATTGATATATATCGTAATGAATCCATCGTCTATTCAATTGGAGCTTTTGCCCTCCATCCTGCTTATGTTCTACAAACCACTATGTTACCAACCACTTACGTCAATTCGCCTGACAGCCATGTTCGCGTCACAAATTACCCAGACTCGATCTCTGGAGTAACAGCAATACAGATTGTGACGTTGAATCGTCCAGACAAGCTCAATGCGATAACATTGAACATGATACAGGATCTCATCGCTCTTTTTGAAGCTTTTGATGTGGATGAACGAGTCAAGGTTGTCATTTTAACAGGCGCTGGACATACTTTCAGTGCTGGAATAGACCTAACCATGGACACTAGCCAGTTGAAGAATTCCTCGCCACCAAGCGAAATGCGTGACCCAGGGGGATCTCTTGCACTGGCCATGTTCAACTGTAGCAAGCCAGTCATTGTGGCATACAATGGTCTTCCCGTGGGAATTGGAATGACATCGACCTTGGCGGCGGGGATCAGGTATGCTGATGAGATCCGATACTTTGGATGCCGTTGACAACTGAATGTTCCCTTAGGATTGCGCCTCGCAAGGCCAAGTTCGGATTTCCATTTTCACGCATCGGCATTACGATGGAGTCGTGCAGTTCATATTTTCTTCCGCGCATGGTTGGGTATAGCAACGCGACCTATCTTTTAACCACAGGTGAAACATATCCTGCCGGATCCCCAGTGCTTCATGGAATATTTGCAGAGCTAATTTCGGAACCGAAAGAGGCTCTTCCGCGCGCAATCGAACTCGCAGCGAATATTGCAGCTAGCGTCAGTTTGATGGCTGTCCATATCAATCGGCAGCTGATGTGGAGAAATCCTGGATCTATCGAGGGAGCTCATTTAGTTGACAGTCCTCTGTTGTACGATATGTTTGGCGGACGGTGTGTAACATGATACATTCCTTGCTGCTAAAGGGTCACTACTTACTAACGAGGCAAACAGAGACCATCTTGAGTTTAAAAAGGCTTTTTTTGAAAAGCGGAAGCCGTCGTTCAGAGACGTGCTTGAGAGAAATGCACCACGAGCCTATCCTTGGTGGAACGAAGTTTCCGTTCAGCCAAAGGCCAATATGAAAAGAAAAAACAGCTCTGAACCCCTGAAGCTCTAGGGTATTGTGGAATACTTATTCGATTCTCAATAAGTCGATTGATGTATTTAGACATATGAACATCCCGCCCCTTTCTTTTGAGCTTGAGCGCTATTTCAGCAGACGCTGAAAAATGAAATCAGTCGCGCATGCGCTTTGCGTAGTTACTTATGATCAATAATTCCTCTAACTGCGGGAGTATCAATTCCAATATTGCTTCTCGAACCTAATATATGGTCAGAATCGGCATACCCAACGCAAAGACGACTCAGGACTATAGACCCAAATGATTACCAAGGTCAAGCTACGTATTTGGTACTTACTATCAAACGAAGGGCGTGCATTGTGCAATCTACCTTAACGATTTTGAGGTGGCTGTCTGCTACCACCTTTCCCTTTTAACTCAAGCCCGCATGAAGAGCCTTCGGGGCTAGGTTTAGGGTTTGCCAGGTGTATAGCGGCAGACGTTCGAGCCCCTACTCGGGAGCAAAGATGATTTGACTCAAGACCTTAGCGCATATCCTCAAGTGTGCGGACCACGCCGTGCACATGCGGTGACTTTAATATTCCGAACATATCTTGCTAGAGACTCAATGGGACCCACCTGAGCAGGACTCCTCCGGAATCGGTCCGAATCGGCAACAAGGGGCATTCGCAGCGCTTCATATCGGACCGGAGGAGGAAGGAGTCAAAATCGATTAGAGCGGCCATGTCCTGTCTCTGGAACTCATATACCGAAATGCGCCTGTCAAATAGTAACTGGAACCATATGATCTCCCTCAAGTTTTATGGCGTTTATGCCAGGCTAGGATATCCTTAGCCAAAGGGACTTGGATGGTTGCGATGAGATCATGTTCGCCCCACTGGAAATGGATCTACGCACATATTAATTATTTAGTGTGGATTATCATGCTCAATACTAATGATTGATTCTCAACTGTGGTGATTCTGTATATCTTTACAAAAGGTGGGGAATGTAATCTACTTATATTCAAGTGCTGCTGAACCTCAGTTCTCGAAAGTATACCGCGCAAGGTTTTGTGAGTGGAATCAGTGGAACGAGAGCATTAGTTCATTAGCCCAGGTGCCATACACCGGCATCCTATGCAGCAGATGAACTCGGATTCTGACAGATTTCCGAACAGGCCGAGTTTGCCAGAACATCCATGTAATGGCGTGGTAGTTTATAGTTTGGATTGGGCTTTCTTTTGCTCTTTTCGCCCTTGATCAACAAGAAAGGCGTTGACAGCCGACCGGGCTTCAGGGCTCTGCGCCTTTGTCCTGAGAACCTGCAATTCTGCTTCATTCGCATCAAGCAACTCCTGTCTGGAAGTCCGCATCAAAAGATTCTTGTTGAGCTGCAGCGCTTCAGGAGGCTGACTCGCGATTCGATAACATATTTGTAACACGTTCTCCAGGAAATCCTGCACGGGAAGAACTTTCGTAACCAATCCCGCGTTTTCTAGCTCATTAGCTGTCATTTTGTCGCCAGCAAGAAGGAGCGAGGCCGCCTTTTGATGACCCATGATCTTGCTGAACGTTATACTGGAGCACGCTTCGGCGGCGATTCCTAATTGAACGAAAGGGGTGAAGAATACGGCGCTTGGAGAAGCGTAAACAAGATCCGCCAAAGCAAGACTGGTAGTTCCCCAACCAGGCGCCGGTCCATTGACAGCAGCAACGAGGATTTTGTTGGAATTGATCATGGCCCTGTGCAATTCCCTTCGTGATATCAGCATCTGCTCAATTCAAGACATCAAGTCTTTGTACCTTATTGTGTCCAAAAAGGAGTCACTAATCACTGTGCCCGGTTCAGCGACGGACTTATCCTTCAAATCAAGTCCAGCAGTGAATATATTCCCTCCTCCTGTCTGCAGAATGACCTTAACCTCATCTTCTTGTTCTGCCCATTTAAACCCTGATAGAATATCCTGATCTCCTTGAGTAAATAAACAAAGAAAACCCCCTGTCTCTGAAGAACACAAAATCTTACCTGAATCATTGGAACATTAAGAGCGTTCCCTGCTTTGGGCCGATCATACTTTAGAATCGCTACCCCGTTTTTGAGGCTAATGGCCACGTTAGATAGTTGAGGGATATCAGACATTTTCTGAAAACACAAATTGAAGCCTATGGATACAGAAAAGTGTGGTTCTAGGGCGCTAAATGTACTGTTGATAGCGCGTGGTATGGACCTCGGCTATTCGGTGCCTCGGAAAGAGATAGTCTTACTGAAGCCACGAGCCAGGCGATAGAGTGGTGAGAATCGAGCAAAAGAATGATTCACCAGGAGCAATATAGCGGAGATGACTGTGTGATTATGAATAGCGATTTATCCAAGCTTGACGATAATAGATATGCGAAAGTAAAGGTCGGTGACTAGGCATCTCCCGCCCATAGGAACAACACGTGAGTCAGATAGCAAATGGCACGAACCTGGTTACCTTTCAAGGTAGAATAATATTTTCTGTGCAGCAGGAGCCTTAAAATGCCGCGTCAAAGATTAGAGAGCTGGGATTGGAAACAGATGGATTTGTGAAGATGGAGAAACTGACCATAATCATTAATGGCCATCGAAGGACTGAGGTAGAGTCAGACAAAAAGAAATGTGATACCAATGGAGTCTCTCGGAGGGCTTACTGAAATTCATGCAAAAAGTCTCGGCGAAGAAGAAGAAATGGTGGAAGGGAAAGAGACTGAGTAATTGCGCTACGTAATACCTGGAGAAGGTCGAACAATCCCTTTGATATCCATACTTTCAGCTTGCTTAGTGTGGGGTGGTGATCTATGAGTTCGATATCAATAGAATCGTGGCCATACACGCTAAAGGATTCTGGTGCAGAAAATACCAATACTTAAGAGCTGAGGTAATGCGGGAGGAATAGCCGGATTTCTCATAAACTGTATATAGTCGGGCCCACTCATGACTCTCAAGCCATAGAGTCTCTCCTGCTGAGTTGGTAGTATCTAGGGAAATGATTGGCTTCCAGCCCCTATACAGAACTAACAGCGGTGTGCCTACTACCCAAGGTTTACCTTTTTCTTTTTTTCCGAGCATCAGAAAAATGGTTCGAAACTGTACATTTTCCTAACAATTTTCGGCCATCCTGAGCTGTATCTTCTCCGAATCAGACCGAGTCGGACCGAGCCCAGCCCTGTACCGTCCTTCAGCCCTCGTAAAGCAAGGACCAGATGTACAGAGTATCAGTGATTAGGTGGTCCTTTTGAACGGGCGATGCAAACGATAGCATGGCAGAGGGTCATCATTTTAGTAGCAATATAGAGATGAAGCTTGCATTCTCACTAAAGGCAACAGCAGAGACAGACCAGAGATGCAGCTACCTATTCTGACCTCTATGCGGATCGGCTCCGCTGTTTTACTCTTTGGTATCGTGAACTAGATTATTTACTCCACAGCAGAGAAGGCCTTCGGCGTTGTGTGTATATGATACCATAATTATATTGCTGAAATTTAGTCCATTTAGTATATCTTCCAGTCCGCCACCCACGAGGGTTCGAACTTCAGTTTGTCTGCAACAATCCAATTGAATGAAATGACCCCATGCATCCTTACAATCTGGGCTTAGAAAGAAAATGGTTGGGTGTTGCTACTGTCTCCATGGGTTCGTCATTGTCACGAACGCCGTTATCTTCTGTCCATGGGGTTAGGGGGGTATATGTATCAGTCGTTGTCCCAGGGTCTCGCACCAGGGGCCTCAGAAACAAGGACTCAAGGCCTTGAAGATCATGTATAGGGCATTGCCCAGACCAATGATTGACTCCAAAGTATGGTATGTGGCCACGATAGCGGGAATGGCCGAGAGAACAAAAGTGCTTGATATGGGAGACAGCAGCCCATTCCATGCCATGACAACCGCCATGATGATGATTCGGTGTCGTGTGAAGTGGTCAAATTCGTCATGGACTAGGTCCTCGACCTACTCCATATTCTCCTCGATCTCGGTGTCGCCCATTGTCTCGAGAAGGATTTTCCGCGGACGGGTGAAAAGGTACTGATAAGAGAAATCAATATGGAACGAATACCTTGAAAGATACGACGGGAAAAAGACCAATTACCGAAAAGGATTCAATAAATAAAATCTACAACGGCCCACAGACATGACCCAGATAGAGTAGAATAATGGATTAGGCCTGAATGTGAAACTTTTCACATTTGGGCAGACAGATCTGATCGGATGATACGACGGCTATGCGAATTGTCGGTCAGGAACTTTTACATTTTTCGTCATCCATCCCAGGCTATAGAACGACTAGCAAGGAGGCTAAATCGGCCCGGTAGTAATACCTCGGCGTAGACGACACACCGACATATAGTTCTCCTGCAATAGTAATGGTAGTTTGCTTGGTAGCTATTAGGTCAAGGGGATAAGCAGGCGAGTAATTAACATTCACCGCGTGCAAGCAATTCTCCAATAGCCATTCTCTACTTTGCACATATTTGTATTGGGGTTACGGAAACATAATTGCCTTGATAAAACCTGCTCCAGACTATTGAACCTGATGGAGGCTGAAGATTGGTTTGATAGGACTATCCTCTATCTGCCGAACAGCTAACCAAGCCTTTTATACTAAGACAAGTTGTGGAAAATCAAGGATATAACTTCCGCCTCTGAGAGATGTTCTTCATAGAGAACTAATTTCCAGTTGCCACACCGTATCACAGAGGTGAGTGATGAAAAGTGACCTCATGTAAGACCGGTCTGAGTTGCATATGAACTTTGAACGCCAATTCTATAGGTACCGCATCAGCCTGCAGCTCACGATTGATCCTGGATATCAATATGGCCATAGGTTGCGCGACCTTATGCTCGTCCCTGATTGGAAACATGCCGCAAGGAAGCATACAGAGTGCGCAAGGTAAAAGACCTATTCCAAAGATTATCGTTGCGATCCAATTGATGTCCTTTCGCCCATTATCATACGTGAAGCGTAATTTATGGCATATCACGTCGAACTTCTGGCGCGATAGCCCCAACTCATGCAGCGCTATGCTGTAGGGTGGATTCTCCCGCTCATTGTACATATCCCATTGTATGATTGTCCCGTAACCTGTTCCACCCGCACGCTGAGTCGCAAACTGATGATTTGCACGGATCCCCGCATTTATGTTGGCAGCGTTCATTTGAGCAACGGCAGTCTCACCCGGATTCCCATAATGACTTTGCGGCATGGCGACATAGAACGGTTCAGGAACTGGGCGACGTCGGATAGCGTGGGCCGTTTCAGCCATGGTGGGGGAAGTCAATACTTTGCTTGTGCGAGTGTATATTGCGGAACCTTGAAATTCAAAGAAGGTGCATATGACGTCCAAGCGTCTTCTTGCAGGCCTCAATGAGGCCGGGAGTTTTCAACAGTCTCACTGGCACGAGAAGCATTGCCAGTGTAGCATATCAGAAAAAAAAAAAAAAATAAAAATAAAGGAAAAATAGGCAGTGGTTAGTCAAGAGAGGAACTATTTAACTTCAGGGAACCGCTGGTGTACTGTACTTTTCCTGCACGACCATTATGCTTAATGTAACTTGGCACAGATGGGCCAAAGTCACTGTATTTCTGGCTCAGTGGTGCCATTGCCTTACCTCGAAACCTTTAGTCTAGCCCTACCTAGCCCGGCCTAGGTGCCTTGAAAGTTTATGGGACAGCATCTCACCTAGAAGAGTAAAAAAAAAAAAAAAAAAAAAAAAAAA